AAAACTATGTGAGAAAAGTAGTATACCCGAATTCATAGTATTCATAAAACACTAGGCGAAAAGTACCCGACTACCCGGGGTGACCTACTACTTCTGCAAGATTCTGAAGTGTGCATCCAGTGGATACTTTACTATCCCATGAGGTCACGAGAGTTGTGAATAGCAACTGATGCTGTACTGTAAGTCGCATGATGAATGTTGTACTTCCGGATTACTTTCATACTACACACATTCATAGTATGTAGAACACTTTTTTAATGGTTGATTGATTTCCATTACACGAGAGTAGATGTTAAAACTTCATGCTGATTTGTACTCGGCTTTCGCCAAGATAAGCAACACTAAGACGTAGCTTTACAGTAAACTATGCTTCTCCATCCATTTACGCTTCTTTCCATATGGTGGTGTGACTCCCCTTCTGTCCGGCGTTAACGGCTGCAGTGTACTTGGCGCGTCAGCACACACGACGGCTGCAACTACAGTGTGGTCTCCCTAGTGGACCAGCACGACAACCGTCTGGATTGAGCCGAGTAGGGGACATCTCTAGGGTCTTCAAGTGGGCACCTTCCATCCTCAGTGTTTCGTCGACTAGCCCACGACACCTCAAGAGGGCTCGACAGTGACTCTGGCGTCCCAGAGTCACCCCCCTCCGTCCCCCACTCAACTCAGCCCAGCTTACTGACCTCTACATTCCTCCTGCTGCTGAGACCTAACCACAATCTCACAATCTCTCCGCAACCCAACCATACGCGCCAACCCGTTTGACTAAGGCTGTCGAGCCCCACTGGTGCGTTAATGCAGTTTCAGTGGCAACGGTTCCGTATGGCATACCACCTACCGCAAAGCACAAAAATTAAGTTCTTCATCAAATGTAGTACATACTCGGCTGAATGCAATTTCTGATGCAATGTTCACTTGAGGTCTGCAAAAGATTTCTTTCCTCAAAGAGTGATTTTCTGTTTCACATAACAGGACTCATATTTGAAAAATGGTCGGCGCGCCCAGCGCATGGTCTAAAAGGGTTGTCCCTATTCTCTTAATGAGTAATGGGTGTGTTTTGGGCGTAACGTGAAATAAACCAACCAGAGTCTCATCTCCCATTCCCTTTAAAAGCAAGTTGCGTTTGCGCCATGGCGGATTGCTATTTACATGACGGAATTTGCAAGCGGAAAGACTGAACGCAGGTAACGGATCTGCTCGTGCGCAAGGTTAAAGCGCAAACAGACCATGTACGGGACAAGCCGGATTCCACCAAATCTTTATGTTCACAATAATAATCTTTTACATTGTAATCCTTTCATTTTTAATATTTGGCTAGTTTGTGTGCTGCTGCGCATCCCTGTTTGTGTAATAAGGAGAATGTACGAGAGGTGTGCACCCGCCTATAGGCAAAATAAATAAATAAAAACTGTGCCATTAACTTTAGACCAGTCAATGGTCAATGGTTTTGTTGGTCAATGGCGCAGTCTATTTCAGCTGCCTCAAAATAGCAACACGCCAACAATGCACCTGAACACATCTTGTTTTTAGACCAGCATGCCCATGGACGCACAAATGGGCGCAAATGCATTTGCTTTTTTAAACAAGGTGGCGCAGGACGTGAAAATGACAACTGCGTCGGGCTGAAACTAGCAAAAAAAAAAAAAACTAGTGGAGGCAGGGATACATTGACCAGAAAGGGGGAAATCACACACTTCCCCCCCGGCAAATCGCACCCTGCTTAAAAGTATAATTAAGTATTCTAAAGGCCTGTTCACACCGGGACGAATTTCGATATTCGCCGACGTTTAACGCCTCGTGACTAAACAAAGGGTGCCAATGTGAGTGTGCACACCGACGCGAAAAACGGCACGCGTAAAAGCGACTTTTTTTTTTAATCGCCTCGGGTTCGTTTTTTTGGTTTGACGCACAGCGTCAAAAACTATCCGACCAATGAGATTGGCGCTTTTGCTCACGTGTCTGGAGCTTCTGAAGTTACAGTAAAACACAACTTGGGGGCGCTCAAACACAAAACGGTCTTGCTGAGCACACATACGTAACGGCGAAGAAGATGCGCCAAGTAGCGTCTACTACACCATAGATATCCATAATATTTTTTTACTTTTTTATACTTTCAGATCTCGTCCGCGCTGCTGGCCAATGGCCTTTATTATGGATATCTATGGTCTACACTGCCGGGAAGAAATAAGACGAGGAAGATGCGAGGCAAGATGAATGTAGAGCTGCTGGTCTCGTTGGTGTCGGGACATAAATAACTATATGACAACATGACAGCGACTACAAAATAGGACTATTTCTGTTTTACATTAAGCGCCATCTAATGTCAGGGAATGAATTTGCATGTTCACTCATCGTCAGCGAAAATCGCTTGGGTGTGAACACAAAAAACGCGTTGAAAAACGCTGACGAATAACGCGCGCCGATATTCGTCCCGGTGTGTACGGGGCTTAAGTATAAGGTTGTTGTTGTGTATAGCCTATATACTTTTTCACATAGTTTTATCTTATAAACTTACATTTACCATTGTTACATTTAAAGTATACTTAAAAGTGTAATTTTATATACTAAAAAGGGGGCCAATTTAGTCCCAAGTAGTATTGAAATAGTACACTTACAAGTATACTTCTAGTACATTGATATTTACTACATAAAGTGTAATTAAAAATATACTTAATAAAATTAACAAGAAGTATACTTATTTTTGTAAGGGGTGTTTCTCAGGCTTAAGCAAAATAATTTTCTTTTTGGTTTTTTTTAAACAATTCCTTTAATTCAAAACATCATCACAATCCTATATGGCAACTACATGTATAATAGAAACTCAAATAGAAACTTCAGATAACTTAACTGAAGGACTTTCTTCCTGATATCCACAAATTCCCCTTTCTCTGTGTGGGCTTGTGGGCCAGTGTTTAAGTGAGGGCCGGACTTGTTAAACAAGGCTCAGTAAAGTGTTGAGGTCTGCAAATGCTGAGTGCCGTTATTGTCTGGAGAGAGACCTAAACAGTCATACAGGCCTGAATGGTGCGTAGTTTACCATAGTTACCGGGTTAACAAGGCTGTTGCTTCAGTAGATGTGTTTATGTGTGTGAATGTGTCTGTGTGTGGTGAACCAGGGAGTAAATGAGACCAGAGAGGGTGTAAACATATTGATTTTGAAATCTGCTAGACACACGCTGATTAGTTTGACAATTAAAAGTGAATTGTGTAATTTTTTTTCTGCTTAAAATGTCAGATTAATATGCAGAGAAAACTATATAGAAGCTATTCGTTGGTGTATTTTCTGAAAAGTGTAAACACTGTGTGACTGTGGTGGTTCCAAAACATTGCTCTGTTTGTTTGAGCTACCTAATATAACAATGGCTGAACCAATGGCATGAGTTTGGGGCAGGGAAACTGGCTTCTCCAACCAATGGGGAAATTACAATTTCACCTTTAAAGAATGTATCAAGCAATATTCTATAAGGTGATAATAGTACAAATTAGTCTAATAATAGTCTAATAAGATAAATGAATGTTTTAGGAAATGTGTTTATATTTATGTGCGGTGCACTGGTCACCATTTCACCATTTCTAGATCATTGACAAATATAAAAACAGATTATCACTCATAAGTCGCTCATAAAAAAAGTATATTTTGAAACTTTTCGTCTGAAAACCCTGTATTTGTGTTTCTTAAAATGTGGGCATTTTGGCAAGAACATTTTTCTTTTTCTTTTTAATAATGAATATTTCCACCACAATGTCACTTCTACCACATCTCAAATTCTTTATTTGTGTTTAATAGTATTCTGTAGTGGAAATGACAGTGATAGAAATGACAATTTTAGGAATAAAATGGCTGACTCTTTGTCTTGCTGAAAGGTATTATCATATCTAGCATTTCATATCCTATATAAGTATTTATCCTAAATACACACAACTAAATAATATTTTCACACATTTGTGCATAATTTGACAAACGTGCAGCTTGATTGTTAAGGGCACACACACAAAATAATATTTCTCTTTGTTTTATTTGAAAGTTTGGGTCTGGGACAAGAGTAGAACAATTAAATTATTATTTTAATTCATTTTAAAAATAGCAAAAATAAATGAAGGAATGATGTGCCTCTGTGACAAATTTCTTTTGTTCCTCTGTGGATAAAATGCTTCATGCATAAATTAAAATGTAATGTAAATGCAAAGTTTCCAAGACAGTTTTAATGTTGACCTTCATAAAACAAAAAGACAAAAGGTGAAATCTATTGTAGTAAAAATCAACACCTGGGGCAAAAAAGTTGAAGAAACATTACCTTTCAAAAGTTTGGAGTCTCTTAAGCTCACCAAGGCTGCATTTATTTGATGAAAATGCAGAAAAAAATGTAATTGAGAGATAGTGTTACAATATAAAATGAATGTTTTCGATATTAATATACTTTAAAATGTCATTTATTCCTGTGATGGAAAAGCTGAATTTTCAGCAGTTGCTCCCCTTTTTTGATGAACAGAAAGTTCAAAAGAACAGATTTTATTTGAAATATAATCTTTTGTAACATCATAATTGCCTCTGCTGACACATTTGATCAATTTAATGTGTCCTTGCTGAATAAAAATATTAATTTCTTTCAAAAAAAACGTTTGAACGGTAGTGTAATTATGTCATCATCAAGAATGATTGATCCTGCAAGTATATGAGAAAAGCAATGGGGAGAATCAAAATGCTTCCTGAAGTTTGTTTGTAAGCATGTCTGGGAGCTTTGTTACCAATGTAAACAGAGTAAAAGAAAGGCTGAATTCTGGGTTTGGGACGGGGGTCATGTGGGGGGCTGGATTCATAGCATGGGGTGGGGGGTATCAACTTACATTTTCCCCTGGGGCGGCCACATGACCCCGAAAAAGAGGGAAAAGGAGGGGGAAAAGATGTAAGGTTATGGTCTGAGCTCTCTCAATGAGAACCACATGCAGGAAAGGGAAAAAAAGAGGAGGAGAGGAGGAGGGGACAGTGTGTGACTAAAGCCAATCTCTGAGACGAGACCGAGTGCCGCGTGGATCTCTCCTCAAAAGCTGAGCGTCCAGGGAAAGAGCGTGAGGGAGTCTTTGTGAATAAGATTCCACGGAATTCAAAACATCTCAGAAAAAAAGAAGCTCGGAGAAGAAAGAACAATGTCAAGTGCATTCATGAGACGAAACTCCAGCAAGGAAGGTTTGCAGAAACTCTTGAGGTGAGGAATTTGTATGCCAGACTTTCGCATCAAATTTAAGGTTTATAGCTGGGATCTCAGGTGTGATGATGGACATATACTTTGTTTTCATTGTTCTTTTGCAATTGCTAATGTCAGTTTTGTGGGTAATGATAGGGTTATTGTTTGAATTTAATTTTTTTTTATTCATGTAAATATGTAATGCACATATATTAAATGCCATGTTGTGTTCTTTAAGAACCTGTCATCCTGTTTTATGGGAAGATATTAACTTTTTACATTTGGGTAATGGAAATGTCTGTATTTGGTTAGTTGATATAACATTAAGATGTTAGGTTAAATTGTACATATAACGCTGTATTTTGTAGGTCCTTCAACTGGTCGTTATTTCTTAGTTTTTTTTATTTAAAAAAATCTAAATCAGCATTAAATCATGTGTCTTTAATAGTTAAATATGGGTTTTGGTGCAACAGAATTTTAAAACTATGGATAATCAATTCCTCAATTCCCTCAATTCACAAATGTCTCAATTAATATGAGCTGATCAAATTAGCTAAAACGACACGTAAATGCCAACATTGTGATTATGCTTGCTTAACAAATAGGCAAAAACAGATGTTTACACCTAAACAAGACCTGAACACGTACTAAGATTGATTTATATATATATATATTTATATATATATAGTATATAAAATCTCAGCACATTTGACTACATTCTAGCAATTTGTAACACCTTCATGCCTTGTTGTCTTTATAGAGAAATGCATGATGTGTCGTTTACTGTGGCTTTAATAAGCTGGAATTTTGTCAGGGTTCCAGATGAGAGTTTATTGTTTGTGCTGTGGGATTGTGGATAGATGACGGGACAGGAGAAGGGAGGAAGGAGAGGGTTGAGGGTACCTAATTAAAGATGTGACCTGTTGACATTCATTGTCAATGACACACATCGATATGACCGGTTATCTCTAAAGGTGTTACAAGCCAACTATAATTTAGGCAGAAAACTGTAGGTTTATTCACTGTAAACAATGAAACAATGTACTAATTTAAACACCACAAAATTCAGTGGTGAACTATCCAGCTGTTTTGCATGCACAGAAGGCGATCCTCTTTCCTTAATCTAATTAAACTGAGTTGGTCAAACTTAAATAAATTTGATAAATTACGCTATTTAAATATTTTATGTTAGACTCATTAAATACGTATTACTCCTAGTTAGATATGTTTAAGTAAAGTAACCAAAATTTAAATGTGTCATATCTATGAAGGGACTTTTTTTTAAGTGTACTAAACATAAACCTGTCTTTTCAGAATTCCCCCGAAAATTAGTCACAAAAAGCTTAGTTCACCTAAAAATGATAGTCATTGTTTACCCCTCATGTCTTTCAAAACCCGCATGATTGTCTTTCTTCCGTGGAACACAAAAGGAGTGGTTTAAAGATAAGACACAATTTGTATAAGGACAAACATAGCGTAACCTCTCAGGATGTGTACACTGTAAAAAATTATTATTGGTTTAACTAAAAAAAGTAAGTAACCTGGTTGCTTAACAAGTTAATTGAAGTGAAAATAATTGAGTTAATGCAATGAAGGAGATTAGTTTAATCAACAGAAACTCAAAATATTATGTTATGTGATCCACATAAACTATCTAAGTTGATTTGACAAAATTTGTGATAACAAATGAGGAAAACAAGTTTTCACTTCTGTACAAAAAGGATTTGAGGTGGATCAGGTGTGCTTTGTCAAACACTAACAGGTTGAATTAATGGCAGACATGGTTTATTCCCCCAAGGCTTTTCAGAGCTGCCAAAAAGCAGCTTTTTCTCACACTCGACAAGCTGCTTTATCTATTAACGGCCTACATTCATCCGAACCGCAGCGACACGTTCCGGATATGTCAATTGCAACACTGTGTATGAAGTACTTTGTATACACTTGTCAAAGTGTTTTGAAAACCATTACAAACTCTACAGATTGTACAGTACACACAGCACGTCACACTGACTCTTGCCGCAAAATCGTTTTAGATTTGGCAGGATGTACATTTTTGGTTTTGTGGTGTTGATTCTTTAATGTACAAATTTTACACTAATGTCTGTATCTTACATGAAACATCTTTCTCATTGTGGTCAAAGCCGTGACCCCCTGATCTGTGTACTTCACGTAAGCCACTCTTCTATTTACGATTCTCTGATAAGAGCTGCTGGAATGCAGAAGGCTTAGCCGTTTGACTGAAAGGGGGAATAAACTTTACCATCCCTGTGGCAGTATGCTTTTCCAAAGGTTTTAGGCAGCAGAGTAGAATAAACACTGAGGGCACTGTGTTATGTTTAGTTAAGCATTAAAGACGTATATATAGGGGGAGTGGGGTAAGATGAGCCACTAAAGTTAGGTGAGAAATGAGATAAGAGGTAAAATTCAGGTTAGTATGTATATTTTAGGATGTCAATCATTTGAAATTAGAAGGTTGTGTCCTGGGCCATAGAAATACAGAGAAACATAAACTACATGATATATGAAAAAAGCTCACTTTAAAAGTAAACTATACATTTCAAATAAAAATCTTAACAGCCATTGAGCGTCACTATTAAAATAAAAGGTTCTTTATACTGAAAAATGGTTCTTTGGATTTTTTAAATGTCCTTCACACTAAGAAAAAAAAAATATAAAAAAAAACTGGGGAAATAAAAAGTGTGAGAAACCCCTTTTTTGGAACCTTAATTTTTAAGTGCGAGTAATTTAGGAATCTATCCTCCCATTTTACAGTGTGCTAAAAAAAAAAATATATATATATTTTTAGAGCTCTCCGATAAAATGACATAATTACAGATTTTACAATTTTCATGATTCATAACGGCGCACTTTCCACAGCTTAGATCAGTGCTTTGAAATGTCTTCAGCCGTTTAGGGAACACTGGAAAACCTATGTGAGGTTTGCAGTGATGTGACCACACACTGACAGCAGGAAGATACTAACATGCCTGGGAAAATAAATCTCCTTTGCTCTTTAAATCTGTCGTTAGGATGACATCATCTGACTCACAGAGTCAATAAACCTCACAGCTGCCCTTCAATTCAGATATGAAATGAGAGAGGAAGAAAATAACAGCATCCATCATTCAAATCTCAAACAGAAGGATTTGCTTCCCTATAAACAAACACAAAACAAGGATATGCTTTTTCTTCTTCATGCTAAAAGGATTGAATTACTTTGCTGAGGCAAATGTAACATCACATGTGTTGTTCACACACTTTTTTAGGACCTTTTAGGTGAACCTGATTTCACCGAGTACAACATGTTCCTGGATCACCAACTTTGTTGATCCTGGAACAACATTCCAATCAACCAATCAGATTTGAGGGACAAGTTTACAGTTTATGTCAGGTTTAGTCTTACAACCAGGGCTAGGTGTTTCTACATCAGTGTTCACGTAGCGATATCACTCCACATTGAACTGTCCCAAAACAACATTTATTGTTTGAATTTCATAATAATCTAATTCTATGCACATTTTTTATGTGGGCACTGGGCAGAGACACATCGTTTAGAACAGTGAAATCCCTGTAAATCCCAGTAACATTTACCTGATCGCTATATTGTCTTGTCTTCTATTGAACAATGAACGACTTCCAGTTTCTGTCAGTGTAAACGGCTTATTTAACCCAAAAATTAAAGCTCTGGCTGCATTCAAATGTGCATACTTCTCTATTATATAATAGGTGAAAACCAGTATATGAAAAAGTAGTATGTCTGAATAAATTTATAAAAGGCAAAAAGTACCCAGATTGCAATTCTGGCAAGATTCTGAAGTGCAAATCCAGAGCACACTTCACTATCCCATGAAGCCACGGGAGAGCATACTCACACTGACGCTGCCAGAAATGGACTTCCAGTTGCTTAGTTGCTGGTGTAAACAGGGCTTTAAAAGGGGTAGTTTACCCAAAAAATAATTTACTCACCCTCATGTTGTTTCAAACCTTTATGCTTTTCTTTCTTCTGTGGAACATAGAAGGTATTTTGAAAAAATGACTTAAAACATGAAAAATAGGTTGTCTTGGACCCATTTGGCTTTCATTATATGGTCAAAAACAGTTTAAATATCTTCTTTTGTGTTCCACAGAACAATGAAAGTCATACATGCCTTCAATCAATGATAATGACACCCTGTCTGGAGAGCATGTATCAGACAATTGGCATTTATTGATCACTGATTTCACTTTAATAATTAAGGCTGAGAGCTGAAAAGGGAAACTCAGGTCAGAGGTCAACTTCCATGCGACCCATTTGTGACTGACCCATGTAGCTCATCCTGTGCTCTGCAAGACCAGACTTGGCTGTGGTAAATTAGGGCAGGCAACAATGGCGAAACACATTTCCCAATCCATCAAGCTTTCCAAATCCTTTCTGCCCCAGGGCACCAGGCTGTGGAAGTTTAGTCAACACATTGTCAGGGGAGGATATAAGGTGATACATGCTGAATATAAGCCAGGCTCTTTTTTGCTTTTCCCTTTCTTTCTCTCCCACTTTATTGTTTCCATTTAAATCAGAAATGGGTCTGAGAAACATTTTGTCAGTCTGTGTTTGACAATACGCTCACCATGACTGAAAATCTGTTTTCACTTCCATAACTATTGAAAGATGGTATTTCCAGACATAAAGGAAAAAGGCTACATAATCAGACTAATAGTGGTAAATAAATCTGATGTTGAATGACATCATTGGCAGGATTGACATCATTCAAGTGGCTTCTGCCAAAAAATGAAGTAATCCCGTCTGAGTGATTAACAGCCTATAATCAGAGGCACGGGAACTGTGTGTGACAGATCAGATCCTGCCATAAGCCCTTTGTGAAACTGTATGGTTGGTTTCAAGATGTAGTTGGGTTATGAGTAAACTGGTTTGTACCAGTATTGCTGAAGGCAGAGTGCCACAGGTAACTGCAGCCATGCTGATATATCTCGATTGCAAGTATAATTGGGTGATTCCGTGTCAAATCAACCAAATTTCAGAAACT